TGAGTCCCACTATAAGACACGTGATATAAAAGAAAAAGGGCAGTACGGTAAAATCTATAAGTTGAGTGATATTTCGATGCCGCAGTTCCTTGAGTATCCTTATTTCTTCTATAAGATTGTCAACAGCACGAGCACTAAGGGTTTTTTTGGATATGCGTTTCACGGCAGCTACGGCTCGCGTTTGCTGTTGTGGGAATCTATAAAAGTAATGTGACTTACCCGATTAATGACCTTAAATACCTCACCATAGGTGCCTTTGCCGAGAAGCTCCGTGAGCGTGTAACCGCTCACTGACTGCATTTTCTGAAAGAGATTGAAAAGCCGGAAACGAGCGTATAGTGTTAGGCGCTTAAACTAGTCGAGACTAAGAAAGCTCCTTGTACTTGGCTACACTGGGGAATAGGAAAAGAATTTAAAATTAAAAGATTTACGATAACCTAAAGCAACACATTTTACAGTTCGAAATTACACATGCCACAGACAACAATGAGTATAAACATTGTCGCTACAACCTCTATCAACGAAAATTGGTCGAGGTTTCTTCTTTGCCTAATTTTAAGACGAAACTTCTATCACCCGCATGAGTGTTCACAATAAGTGTAATGCAAAGACCTTGAGCACTGGGAATAAGTGGGTCCTAACTGTAAAGCCCGGCACGATATCACGTAATTTCAGTAGGAAGTAGCCCTTCTTATGTAGTGTTGAAAAGTACAGGCTCGGTCTGGGGAATCAAAACAGACAAGATATGATTAATCGGTAGCTCAAAAGTGGAACACGCTGCGTGGATTCGGGAAGACGGCGACCTAAACCTGTTGCAAATAACGAGGGTTGTCACTGTCTCCAGGGTGCAATTTTAACGTGCGCGAAGAAATGCTCTGATAAAGAAGCCGAATTTTGTTGCATCTACCTAACTCACAGAGTTCTAGTATCGGGCGCAATAGCTGAGAATGTTAAAGATGCCATCCCCTCTTCTACATACATGTTGGCAACTATGATTACAAAGTCTAAAAGAAGAAAGGATCCCGGCCTTATACGTGAGAGCGCAATAGAAGTCACATTACTCAATACTTTCAGTTTGTACGATTGGAATCCTGCCCTATGCAACTGGCTTTCATGATGTCACAATGTATACTATTATAGGCCTGATAAGTTGCGATGTAGGATCTGGGGAGCTCGACGCTTTCTCTCATGCAACGAACAAAACTGAATGCAAAAGATGAAAAACTATTTGAACGTTTTGACGGACTGTGCTGGGCCGGATTATACACTGACTTTCCCTGCGATGTCTCTAGGAAAGTAAAAATGCCGGATCAAAAGCAACAAAACTGAGCTCATTAGGTGAATGATGCAAGATGTGGCCCAATCATCTCAGTCGTTCTTTTTAGGTGATCTGATATGTCCTCGCAATTGTCACAACGAATTCGCATTATCGTTCTAAGCAATGTTAGTACACTTCATTTGAGGGATGACTCTGAGGTTATGGCCTTAAAACGCTTTCACTTTTGGCACGCATTCCAAACGCACAAGTTGATATTACCCCTGTATGCATTTATATAGACCCCTGTATGCATTTATATAGACC